TTTGCTCTATTCGGCTGGCATGAAGACTGTTGTTGCGGCACTGGGATACTCGCAGGAAAATCTTTGTTCGCTGCGATAGCGGTTGGTTCTGCTAGCACGTACGCTGGTTTAAGACGGTCAATTGACACCGTCACGTCACGACCTTTGACATTGACCACGAACGTTTTGTCCGCGCGTCGCACCACTGAATATGGACCTTCGTAGGGATTCTGTAACGTCTCCTTCGGGCCACCACGGCGAATAAAAACCTGATCCGTTGTATTGAGGTCCTTGAAAATAAAGATCTTCTTTTCCCCATGGCGTCGTCCTTGCGTTGGTCGCAACGTTTGTTGGATGGTACGGAGTTCTTTGACAAATTCTGACGCGTCCTCATGAGGATTTGACTCAGGATGCGATCCTAAAAACTCCCCAGGAAGTCTTAAGGTTTTTCCGTACAGCATCTCTGCTGTGCTGGCTTGTAGGTCCTCTTTCCAAGCGGAGCAGATTCCTAGCAGAACTGTTGACAACGTACGTGTCCAGGAGTTATTCTGGTGGCATATTATTTCAGCTTTCAGTTGCCTGTGGAGTCGTTCCACCATGCCATTCGCTGAAGGATGATAGGCCGTTGTACGAAGATGAGACGTACTCAATAAACGGCTTAACTGTTTAAAAAGGTACGACTCGAACTGTCGGCCTTGGTCAGAAGTGATTCTCAAGGGAGTCCCGAACCTGGCAATCCAATTATCATATAAGGCACGTGCGACGGTCGATGCTTCCTGATCCGGGATAGGAACAGCTTCGGGCCATCTGGAAAACCGGTCAACCATCGTAAGGCAATACCTACATCCTTCAGACAACAGCATGACGACTATATCTATGTGGATGTGGTCGAACCTCGAAGATGTCGTCGGGAATGCTCCTACGGGAGCCGATACATGCCGAGCAAGCCACACAGGAACGGGCCCATTGTCTGACTTCTTTCGTTACGGATGGCCAAATGTAACGTTGTGTTACAAGTTTAACGGTCGCATTAACGCCTGGATGAGAGAGGTCATGTATGGAGTGAAATTAAGCTTTCCGGAACCCCTTGGTTATGAAAGGACGGGCTGTGCGTAATGAAACACCGCAGAACACCGATGTGTCACTACCTGGTATTTGAAGAAGTTTTAACTCAAGTGAAGAATGGTTTGCGAGAAACTCTTTCAATTCCGGGTCCGTTTTCTGTTCTTCTTCGAGCGCTTTGTAATCTAGAACGGTGTGCAATTCTTCAACACGAGATAAGGCATCCGCAACGATGTTGTCTGAGTCCCTGGCGAAAGGGCGTCTTTAGAAGCTTCGAAAGCTCGTGTAGCTACCGGTGTCCACGACACAGGGTGATTCCCTTTTACGTTGCCTTGTAAGAGATCATTGAGCGGTGCTTGAATTTCTGCTGCCTTCGCAATGAATCTTCGGTAAAAGTCTGTGGGAGCGGGAAGGAACGAATGGCGTCCACTTTATCAGGTAACGGATGTGTACCAGCACTGGAAACTAAGTAGCCAAGAAATTTGACCTCCGGCTGGCCGAATACACATTTGGACGGGTTGATTATTACTCCATATTCCTGAAGTCCCCCGAATAGAGTTCGTAGATGGTCTAGATGTTCCTCCAACGACGTAGACGCAACCAAAATGTCATCGATGTAGGCATAGTAACAGTCTAGGTCTTGCAGAACTTCATCGATGAAGAGTTGAAAAGTTTGCACTGCATGGCGTAAACCAAAGCTCATGTGCGTGAACTCAAATAAACCGAATGGTGTTGTGATTGCGGTTTTCGGGACGTCCTGTTCAGCAACTGGGATCTGGTTGAAGGCACGTACCAGATCTATGGTGGAAAATATGGTTTTCCCGCTTAGTGACTGTGAAAAATCCTGGATGTGCTTCACAGGATACCGGTCAGGGCACGTCCTGGCGTTGAGGGCGCGATAATCGCCACAGGGTCTCCATTCGTCGCCTGTTTTCGGAACCATATGCAGCGGTGATGCCCAGGGACTCTTGTTGGAAGGACGAGCGATGCCGAACTGAACCATGACCTCAAATTCCTTCTTTGCAGCTCTCATTTTGTCGGGAGCAAGCCGTCGTGGTCGCTGCGCGACGGGTGGTCCAGGAGTTGTGATTATATGATGTCTGGTCGAATGGGTTGCAAACGTAAGAGAGCCTCCTGGTCGGATTGTTCCCGGAAACTGTTGCAGAAGGTCATGAAACGGTGAGGAGCCTGTAACAGTCTTAATGGAGGATGACTTGCACTCAATCACTTTCCCGTGGGACGCGAGATGAGTGGTTAAGTCTAGAAGACGTTTGTTCTTCATATCCACTAATAACCCAAAATGTGAGAGGAAGTCTGCGCCGATGATAGGTTTCGAAACGTCAGCCACAACAAATCGTCATGTAAACTGTCGTCGAAGTCCTAGGTCGAGGGTCAACGTTAGTATTCCATATGTTGAGATAATGGTGCCGTTAGCAGCGGAAAGTTCATAGGTTGACTTTTCTCTAGGTTGCGGAAGTTGTGCACGCGGAAACACACATAGGTCGGCTCCAGTATCAATTAAATACCTTACTTTCGTTGAACCATCGGTGATAAATAATCGGCGGGAGTGCGTAGGGCTGCTGTCATTGGTCGCCATCAACGACTGCCCATGTCTTTCCCGGAGAATTGGCTTCGAAGTTACAGGGTTTCGTACATCTTTTTGCACTATTCCCGAAACGCACATGGTACCAGCAAGTGTCACTTTTTCCTCTTGGTTGTGAACGTGAACGTAAGCGTAATTTTCTTCGAAAACGTCGACGCTGATGTGGAGGAGCCTGGTTGATTTTAATTGCGGCTAATTCCTGCAGGGCTGTTGTTAACGCATTTTCCAAAAAGTCCAATCTGCTGTTAACCGTGTTAGTCTTTGTTGACGTTTCGGCAATGTTGTTAAATTGTCCATACGCTTCCATAATGGTGTCGGCAATCTCCGTTCTCTTCGCTAATGGCAAATCCTTATGTGCAGCTAGCTGGACATGTTTCGGTAGGCGAGTTAGCCACAGGGTTTGCAGAACATCCTCGGGGAATTCACAGACGGCAAGATTGCGCAAATGTCGAAGGAACTGCGTTGGCTTGCGATCTCCAAGTGGTTCGTTCTCCAGCAATCGCTTGGTGTTTTGCTCTTGAGATGCACCCACTCGCTTGATTAACTCACTTTTTAGCAGTTCGTAAGTCCGTTCACTGCTTGGTTTTATGATAATATCGCGATCTTCGAGGGCATATTTTTGGTCAAGTCCACTTAACGCATACCCGAACTTCGTGTTGTCCTTAACTATTCCGGCGGCATCAAAACTGCTTTCTAACATAGAGAACCAAAGTTCTGGGTCTGACGGGACAAAAACTGGCATTTTCACTGCAACACGATCGATGGACGTTGCACTTTCTGACACGTACTTCTCGGTGGCCATAGTTATGTTTATACAATGTTCGTCCAATTTGGCAAAAAGTAAAATGTTGATTATACTTTTATCGGGGTCACCACTTTAGCGCCTTTAATAAAAGCACTAATAATTTTTGTACCAAAAGGAACGTAACACAAAACAAAACACAACACAAATGAAGAATATATACAAAAGTTTAATAAGACTGAACAACACTCAAAAACAACATAAGAACAACAACAAATAATAACAATATAAAACACTTACGAATTATCAAGAGGTAGACTGGTTACTGGTTACTGAACACTGGTCAATAAGTAGGTTTTTTTTTTGTTTAGATTATGCTCGAGGAGGGGAAATCTTCGAAAGACACCCCCTGAAGGGGGGTAGTGTCGGATTTTTACCGACTAAAACCCCTCCTCGAGCGGGGAGGTANATAGGTATCGAAGACGATGAAATTCTAGGTAAAGATAGCGATAGCGAAACAATAGAATTTAGTTTGAAAAGAAACAAAGGCATGCACAAGATAAGAAGCGAAAGGTTTACAATATTTACACATGTACAAAAATATGAAAAATTAATATACAAAAATATATATACAAAATTGTACGTTTTCTAGTTTTTGTATTCGCCACATATACATATATGATTTTAATATATTTATTTTTAAGGATTTTTAAATTAGGCATACCTGAATAATTATTGAATAGTGTTTTTCATCGAGTTCCTAATTTGGTTTATATAATGTCCCTATTAGTTCCTTATAAGTTTCTAATTTGGTCCACATACTGTCCCTATTAGTTCCTTAAATCAGGTTTTCCTGCTCAGGGCCTAACTTGAAAGTGCGTTATTTTCCTAAGTCCCGACTAGGGCCTTCGTGAATTACCTCATTCGGACCGAGTAAGGAACTCAGTTGTCTTCACTAGGACCTTATGAAAACCTAAGCCAAATTGTTAGTCGGGTAATAGCCAAGAATAATAAAAGAAAATATATTTAATAGAACATGTACTGTTGTACAGAAGGCAGATCTAGAACTAACTTTTTAAAACAATATTTTATTCGCTGCTGTCCATCGCTGCCGTCTTGCGAACCTGCTTTTTAGACAAAACATCCGGTATGGGAGCAGAAAGCGATAACACAATAAAGTTGTCTAAAAGTTAACACAAATAGATATTCATATTGTACAGTTTTCTTTGTTAATTAACTTTAACAGGAACATTTACATGAAACAATTCTAGGGCAAAATGATTTTGTTGATGAATTTTGTGGCAATGATATAAATAAGTTTAAATTCGATTTTCGGTATTTGAAACCCGCGGTAACAGGGACAGCTATAGCGCCATATTCGAGGTAAATCCGCTCTTGAGACAAAAAATGTTAGATAGGCCTATTTATTTAAATTGGCAAAGAGTTTTTATTCGGGATCACTTTTCGCTTTTGCAGTGTTTTCAGTGTTACGATTACGGTCATCGAAGAAGTGCAAAGTTAAGGATCAAATTTGCGGTAAATGTGGCGGTAAACATAGGTTTAGCGAATGCAGGTGGAGTAAAACGACTTGCATTGTGTGCGTTAGGTCCAACAATGACAAAAAACACGGGCAGGTCAATACCGATCACGACGCGAAAAGCACATCTTGCCCTATCATGAATAGGATTAAAAATTCTATTCTAGCCAATATTGATTTTTATGGACAATAAATTCCATAAAAATAACCCCAACGCGGATTTCTTTTTAAATTTTGGTCAAATAAATTTAGGAAAGGGCAAGGCGGCTACTAGCAATCTTTTGAAAGTAATTTCCGATAAAAGATTAGATATTTGTTTAGTGCGGGAACCTACGGTCAATAGATCGAAAATTATTGGCTTTTCCAAAAGTTCATTGATAATATCTAAAGAAGCTAATTATCCTAAAAGTGCTATTGTTGTAAACAATACAGACATAAATTGTTATAGTCGTAAGCGAAATTACCATGAATACGATCGTTTAATTATCGGTAGTGTCTATTTACCACCAGCAGGCCGAATGTCGACGACAACATATTTATCGATCGACTTAATTACATTTTCTCTGAAATAGACTATCGGGCAAAGCCAGTAATTATCTCAGGTGATTTCAATGCAAAGAATTCTGTTTGGGGAAGTAAAATGAGTGATAATAGGGGAATAAAAATTTTAGATTTTTTTGAGAATAAAATTTTAACAGTCTTAAATGACAATTCGGAACCAACTTTTGTAGGACATCGCGGATCGAGTTTTGTGGATATAACTGCTGTCAATTATGAAGCGTTAAAGCCAATAAAACACTGGTACATAGTCGACGAAGAAACACTTTCAGATCATAAATTAATTTTTTGGCAAATGTCTTTTAAAAAACGCGACTCCGAAATAAGTGACCGTAGGTTTTGTAACAAGAAAGCAAATTGGCGAATTTTTTCGGATAATTTTACGGAAAACATTAGGAACATAGAACTAGTCGACAAAGATAATATTTCGGAGCGCGCGCATTTTTTAAATGACTGCATGGTTAATGCTTGCGAGGCATCGATGCCCATTAAAAAACACTTCGCGAAAAGTGTACCTTGGTGGACCGAAGAACTTACTAAAAAGAGATCGGAATCTCACCAACTTAGACGATTGTTTCAACGGACAAAAACCGAAGCCGACCGCGGAATTAAGCGCGACGCGTACTAAACAATTTTTCGCGAATATAAAGAACTTCTCGAAAAAACGCGAACGAATAAATTCCGGGAATTTTGTACGCGTAACTTTGACAAAGACTCATGGGGAACGACGTATAAAATAATTCGCGGAAAAAATCAAATCGCGCGGTTTTTCACAATTTAAAACTTGCCGACGGAACGTACACAACGGACACGCGACAAACGGCAGAATTTATTTTAAAATCTTGTTTTCCGTCGGACAACATCGCAACGGATAACGAATCACATTCACGACTTCGCGAAGCAGCCAACACATATTTTTTAGACGACACACCCTTCAAAAAAGTTACATTTTCGGAAATTGAACGTGCAATTAGACGAATGGATTCGCGAAAAGCACCAGGATGTGATGGTATTACATCGGACGCGGCCTTGGCGGCTTTTCAACTGGCGCCGGGTGTTTCTATAGAAATTTTTAACGATTGTTTTTTATCGGGCGTTTTTACGACTTATTGGAAAAAACAAATTGTCAAAATTATTCCTAAACCGGGTAATCGCAGTTTTAGGGACGTTAAAAGTTATCGGCCGATTAGTTTGCTTCCTGTAATTGGTAAAGCGTTAGATAGAATTTTTACAACGCGGCTTCAGTTCGAAATTAATAAAAACGGCAAATTGAATAATAATCAGTACGGTTTTATCGCAGACGCAATCAATGCAGTTGTAACGAATACAAAAAACTCTTGCGAAAACGACAAGTACGTCGCTGCCGTTGCGCTAGATATATCCGGAGCTTTTGATAATGCTTGGTGGACGCGAATAATTGTAGAAATGCAAAAACGCAACATATCCGTGAAGTTAATCAACCTAGTTCGAAATTATTTCAGCGACAGAACCGCTGTTGTTTCAATTTCCGACACCGCGGTTTCAAAAAACATAGAAAGAGGTTGTCCGCAGGGTTCGTGCTCCGGCCCGCTAGTTATTTTTGTTTAAAGTAAAAATCCGTTTTTAAAAACAGAAAAACTTTATTTAAACAAAAGTTGAAAGACTCACAAATGAGATGTCGCAAAGACCAATACACTTGTATAAGTGAGTGAAATAATTCTTGACAGGAGTATTTATAATATCATGTCTTGCTGACATAATCAAGATGCAACGCAGTGCATAAGTTGTACAATAGCTTCTTTATATTAAAAATAAGACATAATACATAACTCGCTTTTGTGGAATATTTTGTATGATACCATATTTGATATTCAATTACCGAACGGAGCTCAGATTTTTTCATTTGTCGACGATACACTGTTGGTAGTCGAAACGCGCCAGTATAAATTACTTAAAAGTACAGTTAACCAAGCGTTACAGGCGTTATCAAATTGGGCTGAAGATCTAAAACTTAGTTTTAATGGAAAAACTGAGGCGCTATTCTTTGGAAAATCACCAAACCAACAGAGACCCGCTTTTACCTTAAACGGCCATTTTATTCATTGCTCAAACCATATTAAGTATTTAGGAATTTTCATTAACGACAAACTAAATTAGAAAAAACATATAAAACACGTGACAGAAAAAGGCAAGAAAATCTCGCATAAAATTGCGACTGCTGCGAGATTAACGTGGGGTTTCAGGGGCGTGGCCTTATCAAAAGTTTATGAAGGGGCGGTCCAATCGGCGATGCTTTGTGGCGCGCCGATATGGGGAGAAGGGTGTAAAGTCAAACAGGGCAGGTCTCTGTTGAGCGCGCAACGTATCCTAGCGGTTAAAGCGGCGGCGGCCTATCGTACCGTTTCAACTGATGCTGCTGTTGTGTTGGGTAGAATTCTGCCGTTTGATTTGTTGTTGCAGGAGACGGCGAAAAGGTACCGCCTTCTCGCTAGCCGACCACGTGACAATGAAATCAATGACGTACAACTTGGAAACCGGCAAATCGAACGACGGTTCATCATGGAGGACAGGACTCATCCGGCGGACCTGGACAATTTCCGATTCCACAACTGGGTTCGGGACGCCTTTGAGATCGTGTACTATACCGACGGTTCAAGACAGGAAGACGGGCGCTACCACGGCGAGACGGAGCTGCATCGAGTGAAATTCACACTCGCGGACAATAGTTCTATTTTCCAGTGCGAATTAGTCGCACTTCGGCAAGCACTAACACATCTACAGGGGCAAATCGGGATCATCACGGAGTGTTCCATCGTAACGGACAGCCTGTCTGTTTTGTCCGCCCTTCGCAATATGAAGCAACCAACCGCACTACAACACGAGACGTGGGAACTTGCAGTCAGCCTGGCGACGCAAGTTAACCTGCGTTTCCACTGAACACCATCTCATTCGGGAAATTACATGAACGATGTTGCGGATGAACTTGCCAAGGACGCGGCCACTAATCAACAGACACCGCCGATTTACTCCCAGAACCCTCGTGAAAAGACGACTACGCAATAACACAATGAAGGCATGGAAAGAACGATGGAGCACGGCTACGACCGGTAGAATAACTGCGAATTTACTACCGGAACCGAATTACGATTTCAAAATAACGGGAAACATAGACTTCCACATAGTACAATTGATGACAGGACATGGAAATTTCCGATCATATTTAAAGGGATCGGTAAGACTGACGACGACGCATGCGCATGCGGCGCCGCCAGCGACACCGCGGAACACGTCCTGTTCAACTGTAACATCGAGGAACAACATCGGGAGACGGCCGATCGGAATCTCACGCTTCGAGGACTTCGATGGCCTACCTGCTACATGGAGGTCAACGACCTGCGGAACGAGAAGGACTGGTGGAACCCTTTTCGAGCTTTTTCGGGTCGCGTTCAAAGTGAATAAATAAATTGCCCTTGTGTTGTGCGCGTTCGCGGTCGGTATTATTTTCGGTCTTTTAGGGACTGTTGCCCTGTGGTCTAAACGATGTGGCGACTGAAGCCTGCGCCGTCCGCAACATTTGCCTAAACCACTAGACCATACCTAGAAGGCGATCAATAGGATGGCGGATATGGACCCGCACCACGTCGGTTGTGCTGATGCCGGGAAGGGAGGGTTCGATGCTGTCTTCGACGGTACGACCCGAGCCTCCAACAACATGCTTCAGGCGTGTTAAAAAGAATCTTCGAAATGATCGTTATTTATTTTTATATTTTATTTTTTGTGCGGTGCTTGCAAACGCGTTTTTAACTTTTGCGAGATTGCTAATATCCGGTTAATTCAAATTCAAAATTTCGCCATGAATATTATTCGGGGTTTATGTAAATAATGTATATACTCTCTTACAGGACTTGATACTATGTTCCAGTTGTACATATAAAAAATGGTTGTTTCGGCATGAATACGAAATGCAAATGCGCTAGTCACACGTTTCCAGTTTGTTAACTTATGAGAACATTGTATCATTTCGCGAAAATTTTGCCTTTCGTATCCTCGCTGAAATAACGCACAATTTTCTTCGCTTTATTAGTTTATGTATTGTAAGTTCGTAAAGCGGTCTGATTGGGTTTTTCCAACTCGTTGCAGCGAATGTTGGACCGATGTATATATTTCCCAGATTGTAAATACTACATATATGTAGTTAAGTGATCGCTAATACTTAATAGGTTACACTCAAAATGTCACGTATTCCTACGTGACCTAATTAAGAGCTTAATGAGGGAAAGGCAATACCATTCTATTTTTTACGTCAAATTTGTAAAACCCAACTTGGTATAAAAAGTCATGTTTTTTATAATATAGTCAGATTCTGTTTTAACTGTAGTTGGTAAGTCTTCGTGTTATAATTGTGCTAACCTACTAAAAATTGTTCTTGTGAAATCAAAGTTAGTTTTTAAAAACTATTTTGTGGAACGAGATATTTAACTGGCGCTGTGAACAGGATACCGGAAGAGGTCCTTCAGCATCATTATTGGTAACCATTTTTTGTTCGCCATCCGCTGCATTGCATCTCTAGAGGTATCAATCTCTAATCTGGACACAATTTACAAGACACCACTACAACTGAATCTCAACGTCATCACCAAAGTAAGGAAAAATCTACTGTTCCCCTTTCCGTAGAATTACTTGCAAGATTTCTCAAGGATCAACAAAGAAGGTACTAGTTATCCTTTTTAACCTCTTCCTTATAATTGTTAGAACCAAATTTTATGACTACTCGCCAATTACTAGAAACTTTAGAAGAAATTGAAATGTCTCTCACTGCAGAACAATTTCAATTTAGGTTTAACATAGCAAAAGAATCAGTTCCTTTTTATGAGGGTGGTTCAGAAACCTTCAATTACTTTTTACTTAGGGCAGAATGGTTAATTTCTAAATTAACTACAACTGACACATTTCTTAATGAAATGTTATCTAATTTTATTACTAGCAGGGTAAGTGGAGAAGCCCGTTCAATATTTATTTCTCATCAACCCAAAGACTGGGAAACATTTAAAGGCTTATTGTTAAATAGGTTTGGTGATCCAAGATCTGAACAGATATTATTCAACTCATTAAATAGTTGTTTTCAAAAATCAAATCAGACGTATGATCAGTACGCTGAAGAAATTAAAAAACGATTAAATAGTCTTAGGGAATATGTTCAATTAAATATCAAAACTGATGTTCTAGTAACTAGTAAAATTCAATTTTATGGAGAAATAGCTAAGAAAACTGTTATAGCAGGAGTACGTGAACCTTATCACACACACCTGAAATATACTCTTCCCACTGATTTAGATTCTTGTATATTAAGTTGTCGTAATTATGACGATCAGGAACAACAAACTCAGTTTCTAAATTTCATGCGTTCTAGGGAACACAAAAACAAAGGTAGTACTCATAATCATTTTCCAACAAAGAAATCACAATTTTCATATTTCCCCTCACAATTTCAACAACCTCCTCATCTTCCACAAAATAACTCTAACTTCCAACATTCCCAACAAAAACAAAAAACACCCTTTCCTACTGGCCCCATTCAAATGCCTAAACCAATACCAATACAACAAAATTTTCCGACTAATAAACAGGTATTTGGACCAAGATCCAACATTTCAAAAAATCCAAATAACAAACACGATTGCACTCCTACTCCTATGTCTATCAGCACCAAAAATACGTTTACACCCCGACATAATTCTCCTTCGTTCAATTATTTCCAAAATTACAATCAACAACCCAATTTCTTAGTTGAGGAACTTCATAATAATGAAGTAAATGATAACGAGATAATTCCGCGTTAGGGCATAATGCGAAAACCGCAATCACAAAAGTAACGCATGCCCCTATGAATGCCTAATTAGGAAAACCTCATTGGGGCAACATTAGGCTGTAATTAGGAAATGTGGCATACAAATGTTGGGTTATGCGGACCTAATGCGGCTTCCTCATTAGACCCTTGTGCCTCCATTTAATTATATCCTAATATCTACCCAATGAATTTACTTTCATAAAAAAAATGGAAATGTAGGTTATAAGTAAAAATTGTAAGCAACACTTTATACATATATTAAATAAAACGCAATACAGGAAATAGAAAACAATGTGCCTAACGCTATGTACATATATCCCCAGTAGCACACGACATTGGCCTAATATTTATTCTATATTGGTACAATATTGTATATGGGCCCAATATTGGCATTTTATAGCCAATATTGGTAATATATGGGAGATATACCTTTTTCCTATATTTTAATACAATGTTTATCCGATATTGATCCAATATTGATAAAAGATATTTGGCAATAACATTTTATTTATATTGATATGTAATATTTATCCAATATTGGTAATATATATAAGGGATGTACTTTTTCCTTATTTATATGGCATATTTATCCAATATTGATCCAACATAGATAAAAATGTTTGGCAAAATTGAAAGTCCATAAAGACACATGGCCCGGTGCATGGGTACCAAAATTCATTGAAGGCCGATTGTTAACATTTAGGTCGCCTAGAAATTGTGTTACGGTCGGAAATGCTACCGGGTTTTTCATCCTCTGAAAGTATTTGTTGCAATCGCCCATTAGTGCAAATAAAGTGTGTAAATGTAGAGGCAAGTAAAGAAGTGGTAAGTAAATGTATATTTTAGTTGTTTAATTAATTATTATGTACTGTGTGATTCTCACATGTAGTAATAAATGTTAACTGGATTATATAATAAGTCAGGGAAAAGATAGTGTTCGGCATATATATGTATTCGTAATGCGTATAGTTTTGTGTTAGAACTTACAAGAATATTT